CATCTTCGGGATCTCAGCGACGGAGTCGAAGTTCCGCCACTCCCATTGAAAGGGATCACTTTCCAAGGCCCGTATCTTCCTCTCCACCCGAGCAATGCGAGCCTCGAGTGTTTGCCTTTTGAGGCCCAGCCGCTGCCTCTCTTCACACAAGCGACGGTGCTTGTCGGCGACCTAGCATAAAGATGAGTGAATAAGATGAAACAAAAAGTTTTTGAATCAAAAAACTTTTACCTTGTCAATAAAATCGCAAGCCTCTTTCTTCTCCTTTGAAGGAAAGTGAAAGACGGCGTGAGGGAAGAGAACGCCGGCCGGTTCAAAGCCGTCGCCGGACAAGAAGAGTGGGCTGCCGGGATCAATGGGGGCTACTTTTTCGTTTTCCATTCTCGCAAATTACTCAAGTAAGACTCTAAAAAAAAACGTAGTTAAATAAAGCTTGGAGGTAGGTAAGCCTTTATTTATAATGATTTAGGGTTTGTCTTGGAACCATAAATCCATTAATGGTAGAGTGTCCGAGTGGTTTAAACCATTTTTGGAAAATCGAGAAAAGGCAGTTATTGCATTAAAAGACGAGCCATTTTCCTTACTTATAAGAAGGGAAAGAGCAACCGTCGCATTAACTACAAAAGTTTCTAAGGCCCAAGCCCAATAAATTTATCGAGTTGACTAAACCCGAAGTGGGGAACTCGCTTTAAGCCGAGCTCAGCTCTCGCATTCTAAAGAGAAAGGTCTGATCAGCCTAGAAATCTCGAAAGCATAGCCACAAGGCCACAAAAGGTTAAAAGCGGACTTTGCAAACCCGCATATAATTTTAACCAAACCCCCTTGGGTCGTAACCTAGAAAGGTTTAAAAGCCTCCTCAGGCAAATATCTTGTTCAAAAGAAATGATAAAGCCTCCTTAGGCCAAAAACAAGTTCGAAATTAAGTTTAAACTAAGTGGGACAATCCCCAGTTTAAAGTGGACACAGCCACTACGGATCGACCTCCATCTCGGACTCTGGCTCGGCTACCAAAGTTTCACTCGCTTCCTTAATTGGCGTTTGATCAGATGAAGCTCCCTGACCACCCTCCGCGGTGCAACCATCCTCCGGAGTGACCTCCGGTACCATAGGAGCTACGGGTGGGACAACGTCTTCCGTCTCACTTGAGCCTAGAAATAATATTTCCAGTCAATCAAAGGTACAAGGTAAGAGAAGGTAAGCGTCAGGAGCCAAGCGTTACCTGCCCAGTCTAAACCCGATTCACTTATAGGAGGTGATTCAGTAAAGAATTCCTCGAAGTCAAGCGGGTTGAAGGTCGAAGTGGGAAGAGCTGCCAAGCGACTCCGTTTTTCAGAAAGATTAGTTGATAGTTCGGTCCTTTCTTGCTCCTCGGAGAAGTCTGCTTCATGGATTTGATCCAACAGAATCAGGTTGCTCTCATGCTCCTTGATGTCTGACTCCAAGTCCGACCTAGCCTTCTCGGTTTGCATGAAGCGAATGGCCCCTTGGATCAACTCCATCCCGCGTCCCTTAACCTCCTTTCTGGCCTTCGATGCCGACCTTGCTAACTCGGAATCACGCAACTTGGCTAGCGCCTTGTACTTCGCGTCAAGCTCGATAAGTTGGTTGTTCAGGGTATCGGCGGTTGATTCGGATTCATGAAGTCTACCCTGAACACCAGAAAGTTCGTCCTGGAGTTTGTAGTTCCGGTCGTAGTAGTCTTGCAGCTCCCCCTTTACCTGCGCCAGCTCGGATGTTAAACTGTCGACCTTGTCCTCCAGATCATGCTTGGAGCCGGCAGAAGAACTGAGTTCAGCCTCAAGAGCAGAGAATTTCTTCTTCCACATATCAATCTCCTTCTCCCGTCCAATGACCAACCCTTCGTAATGTTCGATCATATCATTAAGTTCGCTGTGAGCCTGGCATTATAAACCCGGGGAGGCGAGTCAGTTTAAAGATTAGCAAAAAAAAAAAAAAAAACGGAACTAACCCGAGATGAATGATGAGCGTGAAGCAAATAGCGTTCACGAATCGCAGGGCGCCACTTGTTGAAGTCTGGCAAGATCGAACCCGATCGTTGCCTTCCTTCTCCATAGCTGCGAAGAAGGAAGAGTTGTAAAAATTGGAGTTTTAGTAGAGACAAAAAACGTTTAAGTATGTGTAAAATCACCAAACCTGAAAGCGATTTGACTTGAGGGACAAGAGCAGGCTTTGACCTCGAGGAAGCACCTCGAGATTCAGAATTTCCCCTTTTAGGGGATGCACTCCGAGCAGTCTTTTCGCTGACGGGCTGGGAAGAAGAAGACATGTCAACAGGTCGGGGAGGACCCATTGGTTCAGTAGGAGGGGATGATCGAGGTGAGCGATCAGTCCGGGCCCTTGATTTCTCCCTTCGCGGAGACGAGTCATCACGGGACGACTTATCCCTCTTCTTACGAACCAAATTCTTAAGTGGTTCGCTGCTGAAATCGTCCCGGGAAGGACGAGGAGAATCACGACGAGGAGACCGCTCTCTCCGAGGAGAACGTTCGTCACGGCGTTCGCGACGAGGTGTTAACCTATAAGCAGCAACGGATCTGGCTCCCTCGGAGCTGTTGTCATCAACCAGCAGGGTCCTGCTGTAATCTTTTTTGTCGATGGCGGCCGCAAGGAACGCCTTGTTTTCATCACAAGCCTCTGCTATCGGCTTGGAGAGTTTCTTACGCTGGGCAGTGAGGGCCCGAGCTGACATTCCCTGAGTTGAGGGAGGAGGCGGAAGACGATGAAGTAGATTGGGAGGACTCATCCTGAGTTTTCGGTTGGCCTCAACAAACCGATCGAGGGTGAAAGAATTCCAAAGGGTTTCTCCTTCGAGGATTGTTTTGAAGAACTTGACAAATTCTTCGGTCGGGAGAGTTGGAGCGATGAGAGCTGCGAAATGAAACAACGAATTTGGTCAGTAAAGAAATAATAATGAACAGGAAAGGAATATACGACCTAGTCTCTACCAGGTTTCGTAGACCACTTCGATGGGAGTACATCGGAAAGATTCCCAATCGAAGCAGGAGTTTTCTTAATCAAAAACCAAGGATGGTGCCAGTTCTCATCCTTGTTCGGGAGGTGCGAGATGACGTTTCTATTGGCATTTGGATACGCCGAGAAGTACCCAGTTTTCTTTGATGAACTCCTTACGCTTAGGAGTTCATTCAGCTCGGTGACTCCAATGACGTAGCCAGCCTCCGCCGCAACGGTTATAATCCCGAGGATGGTTCGGAGGAGATTGGGGGTTAATTGAGGTAAAGCAATCTCGAGAGCCGCCAAGAATCGAACTAGGGCTTCGGGAAGGGGGAAGGTCAATCCGCAGCCCTTGAAGTAAATTTCGTAAACACAAAAGTAGCCGACACGGTGATTCTCCGGGGATTCCGTAGGGTCGGCTATTTGCGCCTCCGCTATGATTCCAGGGGGAATTTGACAGAGCCCCTTTAATCGCTCAAGGGACTGAAGAGTGCCGGTGGATTTGTAATGAGGACCGGCAATGTCGTTAGGACGAGTGCATTCATCATTACTAGAGCGCCTCTCATCGTAAGAAGGAGATTCAGGTCTCTCGGAATCGGAAGTCATCGGAGAAAAATGAAAATTCAAGATCCGGCGAAGAGAGTTTTTGTGAAGAAAAGTAGAGAGGTTTTGATTAAAGCACAAAAGTAAAAGAAGAGAGTAATGGTGAAAAGAAGTTACCTCAAGCTAATGATGAAACCGCCTCGGAAGTTGTGTGGGAAGTGGGAAGGTTTTTTCCCGTTTTAATAGTAATTAATCAATATACGGTCATAATGATGACAGATGTCACTCAGTTAAAAAAGGCTAGTGCCGAAATTAAAGGAGTGATGAGATTTTCGAAGGGAAATCAGAAAGATTCTCGAGCGCAATCTTTGGCCACTTGAGCATTTAAAGTCCTCCGAATTGAAATAGCACTTCGAAGAACTTGGGGGGCTAATTGTTGGTGTCGGATCCGAGACCAACCAAAGATTGCCACGTAGTCAAGAAAATGGTCCCTAAAGGATAAAGCCCATTGGACCCGTGAGCCGAAGGAACGGTCGAAGTGGTTATCACCACTTCGAGAATCCGAAGTGACTGCACTGTGACACGAGTTCGGTGTGGAAAACACGGGTAAGACGGTTCAAGGACACTTGGGCCAAAAAGGCGAGGCCCATGAAGATTAGAGTCAACTCAAATTCAAACGTTGAGCATTAAAGTCGAAGAATCAAAACGGACACATTTAAGAAGGAATAATTGCATCGCCCAGCTCAAGGACGGCTACATCAAGGGAGATCGGACGAAGCACATTCTACCAAAGTTCTTCTTCACGCATGACTTGCAAAGGGATGGAGAAGTTCGAGTGTTACAAGTCCAATCATGTGACAATTCAGCCGACCTATTCACTAAGGCGTTACCAACATCAACATTGAGAGAGCTCACGCATCAGATTGGGATGCGGAGACTTAAGGACTTACAGGGATGACCAAATCAGGGGGAGTAATACGTGCTGTACTCTTTTTCCTTCACCATGGTTTTGTCCCAATGGGTTTTCCTGGTAAGGTTTTAATGAGGCAGCATCCCCCAAGCGTATTACTGAGATCCTTTGGCATCTACACGGATATGTCATCCAAGGGGGAGTGTTATAAATCACATGTTGGATGGACTCCATAACCGTGGGCCTTATCCATATTCTAGAAGGCCCATGTCCATGTCCTAGAAGGCCCATGCCCATGTTCTAGAAGATTCTCCTTATGACGGTCTATTTTATACTTAGTGGGCTTTTGGACTTTAGGGCTTACTAACCCAATGAGGATTTGTCTCCTCTCATCATGTATAAATATGTAACGAACATCATTCATTAATCAATCGAACAACAAGTTTTACAACAGTATTTTCTATACATTATATTAAACTAGTCACAGAAAATGTTATTAGAATTCCCAATTTTGTGCTATTTTAGACACTCTACTTTCATAGTTCCATTTTGTGGATACAAGAAATCGGTTTGGTTTATATGATCCGGTTTAATCGGTTAATAAGAGTGGCGGAAAGAGAAAAAAAAGCGGCGTAACTAAAAACACGACACGATGATGAATTCGGCGTTTCGAAACGTTCACTTCACTGCGTCTCGTTTGATAAACCCTAAGCCCTTTTCTTCTTCGATTCTCCATTTTCTTCCTCTCTGTTCCGGCGACGTTTCTCATCGGCGTTCCAATCCTCTCCGGCATCGAAACTCGGTGTCTCCTTCTTCTTTTTCTTCTTTCTACATTCCTATGGCGGGAGGTGATGGTCAGGTGTCTCTTTCGCTTGAGAAACAGTTCGAGAATTTCCGTGTTCAATTGGAAGAATCTGCAGCTTTGAGAGAGCAGATTCGTGCTGTGGTTATGGAGATTGAGTCCGCTACTAGGCTCATTCAAGCTAATCTTGTTCTCGTTCATCAATCGCGACCTATTCCTGGTAAATGATTAGTCTTTCGGTCTTTGTATTTTGAAAAATGTTGGAGCCAAAAAGGTTAAAAATTGAATCTTTTAGCTAAATGTTTGAAATGGCTTCCTGGGTTCAGAACTTGGTGATGAAGTTCTCTTAGAAGGGAAGTAACTAAAAATGAATAACTTGTGTACTTGTTGTGAGAAAAGAATGAATATTGAATCACACATGGCCTTTTTTTCTTTAAGAAATTCATTGAAAGTGTTTGGTTGTTACTAATAAGATTGCTCGTTTTGTTGATGGATCAGAGGTTATCGAGAAAGCCAAGGAAAAAATTGTTGATTTGAAGAAGTTTTATGGTCGGCTTGCTGAAATTCTTCAGAAGTGTCCTGGACAGTACTATAGGTAAATTTGAAAGCCATTTGTAGTAAGATTTTCTTAATTTGCAAATTGCAATGCATTTTCCGCAATGGTTTAGTGATAAAAGGTTTTGTAATTTAGGTACCATGGAGACTGGAGAAGTGAAACACAGGCAGTGGTCTCACAGCTTGCTTTTATGCACTGGCTAGAAACTGGAACTCTTCTTGTGCATACGGAAGCTGAAGAAAAACTTGGGTGTATGTCTCTGTATCTCAGTTTACTCTTTTTCTTACTTTCAAATAAATATATCATGGCCTAGTGGTTGTTCTAAGAACAAAACCTAATTTTTGCTGGTTCTCTCACAAACTTTGGACAAGAAGTATAGAAACTATATATGAATTCTAGAGAATCTATAACTCTCGCTGCTTAATCTCAACAAAATACTTGACAGGACATATCTGTTTTCCCTTCCCACAATAGGTAAGAACTGAGTTGGCAGTAGACAATCAATTTGAAATCCTTACATGACTCCAACATAATATACGTATAATCCTGTGACCTTCCTTTTGCCTGACCTGTCTTAGTTGAAAAACTGCATGAACTAGTTTGCTACTACTAGTCTTCTTCTCTTTTACAGTTAATTGACTCTCTTATGATCTCTTATCAATATGTTATTGATTTTTTTCCTAAGGCTTTGTTTCACCCTGCATTTTATCCACTTTAGTGTCACCTCAATTGAGTTATAAATTGCTGTTTTCCACGAACTAAGTTATCCTCCCTTAGGATGGATGATGATACGAAGGTTGGGTTTTCATTAGGTTGGTGTAGAATAGACATTTACCAAGTGTTGTTTTGTTTCAAATCTGGATTTGTAATCTTGTCAAATCACTTTTCTCTTTTGAATAAAATAAGCAGAACAAGTTGCTGGTCAAGTCATCTGTCATTATGTCTCTTCTAATTCCACTTCATTGTATTTCAGTGAACAGTTTAGAGTTTGGATTGGAGACAGAAGATTATCTGACTGGTATGTTTCTGAGAAAGAACCCATATTTGCTCTGGAAGGCCAAAATCTATAGATCAAATAAGGCCCTTTGCATTTTATGAATCACTACATTACTTATATATTCTGATCTTTCAGCTTTTTGAATACTTTGCAGGAATTTGTTTCATGTCAAACGATTTGGTAGGATCATTTTTTATCCCTTATTCTTACTTTCCATCTTTCCCCTTTACATCCCACTTGATAACAACTCATGAAAACCTTTGGAAAAATGCAAATGGGATTTATGTTCATTCAAATTTGTGGGTGATGCAATGTTTGAGCAGCCTAGGTACGTAGTTAATCGAGTGACAGCAGGAGACTATGACTGCCCAAGAAAGGTGATGAATTTCTTGACAGATCTTCATGCAGCCTTTCGCATGCTCAATCTCAGGAACGATTTCCTGCGCAAGAAATTCGACAGTAAGTCATCTCTTAACGCTCTTCTTTCTCTAATTGCACTGCAACTGTAAGATGGTGACATAAAAATGTTTCGTTTTGACATGTGACAGGTATGAAATATGACCTAAGAAGAGTTGAAGAAGTTTACTACGATGTTAAGATCAGAGGTTTGATTTCCGCTGGAGATCAAGAAATCCAAGGCCAGTCCTAAGAAGTCTACACTCGTATCTGCTCTTTACTCTCATCTCTTATATGACTTGGTTTAGCTCAGCACTTCAAATGGCAAGGAGTGCTTTTTTGTAAAACATAAACGGCTAGTGTTCCTTTTGTGGGCCTTGAGAAGCCCATGTTTTATGCTTTTTAGTTAGATAACGTCTACTATGTGACATGAGTCAATTAACGGCGTCAAAAGAAGCGTAACTTTACCGTTATCCGAGTCAGCAGCTTAATATAACAGTAGATGTTCATGAACACCACCTGTCATCGTTGCGGACTTGAAACGCACGTTATATTACACGGTGTCTTACGTCATTTGGATTTCAAAATTAAATAAATCAGCTTTTGGAATCCGAAACCAAAAAAAAAACAAAAAAACAAAATCCTAAGTCCTAAGTCCAACAACAGTCGCCATTTCACCTCCTGCGTCAGAGTTCTTCGTCTCCTCTCGTCGTCTCTGTTTGGTACTTCTTAAAGCTTTTTCCTCAGGTCGAGTTACTAGAGCTAATTTTTTCTTTGACATTGTGTTAGATTCTCTAATAAGCAGAGCTAGATTTTCTAAGGAGGAGGATAAGCTAATAAGCAGAGCTAGATTTTCTTCTTTCTTTATTTTTATTTTTTCTTCCCAGGAAAATATTTTTCTTATTTTCTAATGTAACAAGCAGAGCTAGATTTTCTTCTTTCTTTATTTTTATTTTTTCTTCCCAGGAAAATATTTTTCTTATTTTCTAATGTAACAGCGCTGTGAGTCTCTCTCTGGCCCACTTTATACGTAATTTCTTTTATGGTTTTGTTTTTTCTATATTGCATTTGCATTTGCATTTTGATTGGTGATTGTGATAAACATTTAAAACATTGACGCTTCTTCTGTAGCAGCTATTAAAAAGTTTTGATTTTTTCTTTTTATTTTGTGTTTATCCCTCTTCTCTGAGACTCAGATCATCCGACAGAAATTTGTCTGGTTACAGTTTCTAAATAATACTGTAATTGCATAGAATGTCTGTCCTTTGCTCTTAACTAGATCTTATTTATATATTTTTTTTTACTAGATTTGAGGCAAAGTAATGTTTTTTAATTCGAGAGGACATGTTTCATGTTGTGACTTTGTTTACTAGTGCTTAAAAAACATGGATCAATCTATGGATTGGGAAAACATGCCTACATAGAGAGAGAAATGAGATCCAAATTTTGTGAATCTAGCATGTAAGTTAGATTTTGGTTTATGGGCAACATTGTCTGGTTCTGTTCAATTATTGTGAATATAAATACTTGTTCTTTGCAGTGTAAAAACTTGGACCTTGACTTGAAATGGGACCTTTTGGGATGGACACAACACCAGAGTTTCCTGATACTTTTGCTGGATTCAAGTCTGGCAGTGTGAGAACGTCTTCTTCTTCACTTGTGTTCCTTGGTTTTAGGTTATACATTAGGATGAATTTTATTTCATGATTGTAATTAAACTCTTTTTTTTTTTTTTTTATGTATTTCTTTTCTTGATAGGTTGATGAGATTCTTGGTCATTCAATGGAGGATAAAATGAGTGACATGAAGCATTTCCTAATGGATCCTAATCATGACAATACTGCGGTGAACAGTTTCTTAGGTCTCGGTATGGAGAATATGGGGTTAAGCACCAAGATAGAGGAATTTTCTCATGGATTTGACTTTAGCTTTCTCCCAGATTATGGTAAGTCAATTAAAGTGCTCTTATATTGAATCTAATTCCATTGTAAATGGGAGTATGTTTAATGCTAGAGCCCTCTTTCATTTTTTCTAAGGTGGACTAAACTCTTATAGCACTAAAGATGTGGAAGCAGGTTTAAAGTTTGACGTATGTGTTCTCTTTCTGCTCTCCATTACATGGTTTCTTTCTTGGTCATTCTTGAAGTGAAGTTTCTTATCATCTCGTAGATTCTTGATGGATTTCTGGATGGAGTCGACGAAGTGGAAGATATCTACGCATCACATGATCTTTCTTCTATTGGTAACCATTTCCTTCCAGGTATATTTATGTGATTCTATCATACTAGTGCATCTGAGCAATATGTGGTTTAAAATCCATTTTATAATTTACTTGCAGAAACTGAAGTCAAGAAGAAAGTATCTGAATTAGATGGTGACCCCTATGGTCTTGTGAACTTGAGTTCAGAATCTTTTTCTCCTGGAATTAGTGGAAGCATTGGACTCTCGGAGTGGTCAAAAGAAACTGTTCCACATGCTGAATCCCAGAATGTATCCAGCGAAAAGTTTAAAGATAGTTTGGACTCAAATGGGTCAGAAGATGACAAGAAACCACTATCCACTTTTATAGGCTCTTGGGTTAAACGAGGCAAAAATCGGAAAAAGAATTTGCTCAACACCGCTTGTAGGAGGTAATCGTCAGTGACTAAAGTCTTATTCTGAATATATAATCCCACAGACATCAGATTTCCTAGTGAAGCTCTCATTTTTAATGTTGCAGATTAGATTCTTCTCGTGAAAGAATGTCTTGCGTGTCCTATGACTTCAGGCCCCGGAAAGGACCTATGAAGAAATACATTCACACTTCAACTGTTTGTCTTACTCTTTATGACTAAAGACTTTTCCCATTATTTCTAATCTATGTAAACCAAATACCATCTGATATTGCAGGAGAATACATTTTCTCAGTCATACACACCAATCTTGTCATATTGGACTCCATTTCTCTAGTAACAAAGACATCCAGAACCAGAAGTGACAGGAGAAAGAATCAGAGGATGTGGACTGTTGATGAAGTAATGAAATTGGTTGATGGTATTTCTCACTTTGGTGTAGGAAAATGGACCGATATAAAGAACCACTTCTTTCATTCTGCAGCGCACCGCACACCGGTTGATATCAGAGTATTGCATCATTCATTCACCTCAAAATCAAACTGATCATTTAGTAGTGCTTGGTGACTCAGTTCTTCTCCTCAATGCAGGACAAATGGCGTAATCTACTGAAAGCAAGTTATAACGATAGAGAGGTTTGGTTTTTCCCTTTCCTTTGTCAACAAAAATTCATATTCTGAGAAATCCTCTGTAACACAATTTTGAGATATTCAGGCTGAAGAAAAACGAAAGTCAGTGGCTCGCTCTATACCGAAGGAAATTCTACATCGTGTTAGAGAACTTGCTTCACTCCATCCATATCCGTTCTCCAAATCATCTTGTTTCGTTCATGATTCCTCAAGAAGCCGAAGCACTTCAAGGAAGAAGAAGAAGAGGAGTTGATATTAATAGTTTTCATGGAGAAAGCCTAGAGAAGCTGTAAAGATACTAAACTAAAATCGACCCGAATCGTTTTAATTGTCTTGGAAAGTAAAAGTTTTAGGATATCAATTTTATCTGCATCATCAAGGTTGTTCCATGTGAAGTTTCTGTTAATGAAACCGAGAATGACTTCAATTCAGAAAAGCATTTTGCTTATTTCCTCTATATTTTTACATCCTCCAATGCAATTAAACCAACAAACTGCAGCAACACAACCACTAGAGGCTTTTTATCTGAAAATTCATGGTCACTCCTGTTTCTTGCAGTGTCAATGTAGCTTCTTATCTGGGAAACAAATAAAAGATTTGAGTGATTAGCGTTAAAGTGATAAAATTGATAACCCTCCAACTTGAGTGGTATATATGACATCAAAAGAACCATTGCTTGTCTTAGTTTAGGGAAGTTCCACCATAGAGTGAGTATACACAAACTAATTTTGAATAAAAAATATATTTGTACAAAAAAAATATTATACAATATATCAAAAATTTATATTTCAAATCACTTTATTAAATTTACAATTATATATACATACACATAATAGAATATTATTAAAAGGTTTAGTTTAGTTTTAGGATGCAAATAATACAAACATTAAAAGCACAAAGATGAAACAAATGTCCAGACTCTGAGAGGTCAATTTCTACATGTTCTATGGCCAAGATAAGATGATGATTAATTTTTTCCCTATTTTCCATGAAAAAGGGAAAAAGAGAGAAAGAGAAATGTGTATAGAGATAACATTCCATCATATGAGTGTTGCACATGCACGCAATAAATTCTAAAGTCAGAAGAAGCCAGCTTAGTTCAGAATGGCAGTCGTTGTTAATTTACTTGACAGACCAAAACCAACTTCAAAACACACACACAACACAAACATAACAGGTAGATAGATCTGAGAGAGACAGTTTTTGAAGAAGCGAATTGTTGTAAGAATGAGGATCTCTTACTCTATTGAAGGGAACATCTTTTGTGAATCCTTAGGGGGATGAATCCTAATCAATGATACTCGTTTTACTCTTATAATGGACCCTCCAATATTGACACTTCTCCATCTATGTACCCTTCCTAGAGACAATAACCCTTTCACCATCCCTATCTCAATCTTGTGAACCACATTCTTCCCCGCCTTCTTTAACTGAACTATCACTTATACGCTTTTGATCAGTAAAAACTAAGCTACCTAATTATACTGCAAATGCTCATCATACAAACATCATTGCAAGGTTCTACATTAGTCCATGTGTAGATAGATAGTTCAAGAAGTCACCTGAGCTAGAGCCTTGAGCTGTTTAAAAACCAACATAGCTCTAGGAAAAGTCAAGAGATCTGGATTTCTGCAGATCAAACTGAAAGTACCCATGCATGAATCATTAACCAAGATCATCACTATCTCCAAGAAGATTTAGACCCATCCCTGGACCCTGTTCCTTTCAGATCTTATCTTCTCTCTATCTCTGTTTATCTTGTCTTGTGGGGTCTTAATCCCCCGTGAACTTGAAGAACTCTGACACCAGATGTGAGCTAGGGAAATAAAAAGAGCATTTTTTTAATCACATCAAACCATAGAGACGTATGTTCGTACAGTTTCAGTATTTCAACTCTATCAACAAAAGTAACAGAACCGCACGGTTGTATAAAGTACTGTATCATTTAAAAGTTGCCCATCTCACCCTCTTTGGCTAACTGTCATGTCCCAACATTTATAAGGAGCTCTGATATTTCTACTTCCGCATATATATATAGACTTGTCCTTCACCTTGTACTATTCATTCAAAAACACATTCTTCTATCAAAAGTTCAAAACATTCTATCTATTTACACTACATATTAATCTTCTCCTCCTACTAAAATGAAGAGCAAGTTCATTAAGTCCTGCGAAAAGAAACTGAAAAAGATGACAACCAAAGTCATAATACCTTGTGCGTCTTGCGAGGCATGCTACGATAGAATTTGCTGGGCATTCAAGAAGGAAGCTGAGGTGATACCAAGAGATGTCCCTAAGGGACACTTGGTTGTCTATGTGGGTGAAGAGTACAAGAGGTTTGTGATAAAGATCAACTTGCTTAAACACCCACTCTTCCAAGCATTGCTGGATCAAGCACAAGATGCTTACGGTTTCAGTGCTGACTCCAGACTATGGATTCCATGCAATGAGAGTACTTTCCTCGATGTTGTCCGTTGCGCTGGTGCTCCCCAGCATCAGAATAACTGCATATGTATCTAGGAAGGTTCTTGTACAGGGAATTCAAGACATTCATTGATTTATCCGGCTCCACGTTTACAAAAAGAATGTTGTTCAATGCTAAGCTATCGGGGTACACTAATAATATAAGACTTTTTGTATTAAATGTGTCTTTCAATTCAGCGGGAAATGTATTAAAGTTATGATTAAAGTTATGTATCAAACTTCCCCAGCTCCAACGACATACATGAAGCCACTAAAGCCGGAGGTAGTCACTGAATAAAAGACACTAGAACATGATAATAATAACTCAAGAAACATGCAAGACCTCTATTGTTTTCAATTAAACTAAAATATAAAACTCTTAACAAAGATTATTTTCAAATGGGGGCAGAGGGAGAGAGCACAGAACAGCTTTACCTTGTCACATATCTCAAGACAAAGGCCAAGCCATCTTGAAAGCAATGTTTCTTAAACCAGATGCCTCTGTTCTGCAACATGTTTGCAAAACATAGAACAGAATTGAACTTTCTCTCATCAAGCTGTTATCAGAGAGTATATCTCTGCAACGTCATACACTCACTGATTAGTGAGAACAACATCTTGATTCTGTCGGTTGTATGCGTTAATGTGTCAATGAGAATAACCTTTCCTGTTATATCCTATTACGACAAGAAAGAGCTAGTAAAAATCCCCGGGAGAGTTCTTGAAAGAATGGAAAGATATTATGACCAAGAGGCTCTAACATCAGCCATGAAATCCAAATCATAAGGGTTGAGCAACCAGTTCCCCATTGCGTCAATCGAAAGAATGCATAAAAATGTTGTATCGACATAAAGAAGATTAAAATGGCTACAAGATAAGTACATTTAAGCCGAGTAATGTATCCAAAGGGTTTCTATAATCATTCCCAAAATGATAAAAAAAAAAATTGATCACCTCATGGTATAGATATCAAAAAATGCAGCAAGATATATACAAAGGAAAATCTTGCAAATGAGTATACACAGTAGTTGTATCATGCTCCCTCTTTCATAGCTAACAAGTAATCCTAGGTGCGTACATACATCGAATTGTTGGCAATTCTTATCAATTAACTGTAATTCTAAATCCAAAGGAACCTAAAGTCATGACAACTTGTGGCATAGAGATGTCGCCACTGGCATTAAGCATCGAAGCCAAGGTTTAGTCCTTTGGAAACCAAAAGATTATCCTAGAGATCCCCAATTCATTATCATCTCAGCCCATCGATCAAGTTCTCCATTTCTCTTCTCCCAAACCTCCTACCGTCTGCGTGCGCATCTTTACACTTAGCTGCTAAGTAGAACACTAACCAAGCCGCCATGAAGTAAACTTCCAACGCAGATTGGATCACAGAAGCAAAGCTTTTCCCTAGCATTCGAACCAGAACCCATCTGAAGAAAGATCCACAAAGAATCGCTTCAAGACACTTTAGCTGCACGGCCTGATGCAACAGAAGAGAAATCAAATAGAGACCTTCCTTCACGATCTCCCTTCCTCTCCTTCTTGAATCCACAATAGCAACAAACGCATCAACAGCTAATATCAAACCAACAAGCGTATCAAGTAGAAACCAAGCGAACAAGAAACCCGATATCTCCTTCTCGAAGCCTCTAATCCATGGCGGCATAACAGTGAAAGGCATCAACTTTAACCTCACAAAGAGCCTGAAAAACGAGAACTGATCTTCAACCTCTCCAAAATACCATAAACCAAGAAGCTGTGTCAAAGCATCTCTCACTGCCCATCTCATTAAAACGAATCCTGTAACTCTCTTAAACCCCAATCTTGAACCACTCCAAACAACCCCAAGAAACGAAGGAAACCTACCAAGCAAATCGTTGATTACAGTAACAAACATAATCGCCAACACCAATGAGTAAACAGTGGTAAACCCTAGAATCACCCATCCATAAGCAGCTGATAAAAAGCTCACCAAGAAGAACAGAGCCGCAGCGTCATGACGTCCTAACTCCAATCCTTTAAAAAACATCTTCAGATCCACAAAACTCTCAAATTCTTTATCTTTCTTCTCAGTTTCACGATCGAGCTCAGATTCATCCAATTTCATATCTTCTTCATCGCCGCCAAGATCGTCCTTCTCGAGCTGCCGTAAAACGACGCCGGAGCGAATGATTTGAGGAAGGAGAAGTCCGTTATCGGCGATTGGACGAGACAATCCAGAAATGCTCTCGAATCCGGAGAGAAATACAGTCGTAGCGTTGATGGGTGAACGAAAGGAAGAGCCTTGAAGAGATCGGCGATGAGGATCGTTTTCGTCGGTGGAGAAGAAGTCGTCGTCTAAGGTACCAAGGCGCGTGAGCTGAAGAAACGGAGCACGTCGGTGATGATGGAAGCGCGTGGGGGTATGGGAGTGAGAGTAAAGAGGGAGGCGAGAGAGGAGAGAGCGAAGAGAAGGGTCACTATCGACGAAAGAGGTTAAGAGAAGAGAGCAATGATCGACGAGAGAGTGGAAGGAGAAGAGGAGGAAAGTGAGGAAGATGAAAGTGAGAGGGTGAGAAGAGAAAGAAGCTGTGGTTTGACGGAGGAGCTGGGTTGTTGTACGGAGGCGGCTCAGCCGCGCGTGGTGGTGGTGGTGGTGGTGATCGGTCATTGTTTTACTATTCGCTCCCGCTACTTTGGGTAGATCGAGAAGAGAGAGAATGAGAATGAAGAAGAGAGAGAGATAAATTCTCTTTTGTCTAACGTATTGAAAAACCTGTGTAGCCTCTGATGGGCATTATGGGCTTTAAATTAGGCCTTTATTGTGTACATGAGTTTTCTTCTTATCTTGTAAAAAGTCTCTAAGACCACCTCCAATGGAGGTTCTATTAAGAAATTCTTAGGTGAAATTTGATAAAAATTAAATCAAAAATGGCTAATTAAGAGAGAATCAGTTACAAAGCACTATTTCAATCTCCGATCAACGCCAAACGCAGACTTCCAAACCTCGGACTTCATCTATATATACATTTTTGGATGACTTTTAGCAAATAAATCCTGGAGTTATAATGTATTTACAAAGAATGCCATTGGCATTTATTATTTACTTTTACAAAATTTAAATAAAAGATATGAACCAAACAATATCTTGCCTAATTTGTTTTTAAAAATCTCTACACAATCTTTCCATATATCTTCAAAAAACTTTTATAGCAAATATTTATATTAACATTTTGCATAGTAATAAAAATACTAATTTATAATAATCAAAATATTCACATAGAAAAATTATATACACATACAAGAAAAAAACTATATATGTCATCATTTAAGCCGTTGCTTTATTTAAATAAAATAAAAACACAAAAACCTGAAATCATATATTTTATATGATAAATTTAAAATATATATTAGTAATATAAATTTAAAATCATTCAAAGAACGGTATACAACGGGTGAGATCCTAAAATTATTGGATTTTATTACAATAATAATTTATTTTCTTGGATTTTATGACACTAATAATTTAGCTAATGGGATAATATAGACGGGTTTATATGGAATGACGGGTTTGGGTCGATATTAATAACGGTATATTAAGGATGAAATCCTAAAATTAACAATCAAAATACAATTATACAATCTTAAACACAAAACAAAAGAAACAATATTAACAAAACAAATACAACTTAAAATTTTTAGTTATTAAAAAACCGACCCACGGTATACTTCGGAGTCAAATATTCAAAATTTTAAAATCAACCATACATCGTTACTTAAAAAAAATGTATGTTTTCGTATCTATACTTTAAAAATTGAAACCTAAACAATAGTAATCATACACTAGATAATACATAGATAGATATCTATATTTAAAAATACAAATTAATATGATATATCTTCAGTTAAACTTTAAAAAATAACATTATATTTTTTTTTTAAAATATAGCCACGCGGTGTACCGCGGGTTAAATTCTAGTGGTCCATTATTAATAAATACAGTAAAACATCTATAAATTAATAATGCCCATCGTGATATTCTATTAATTTTATAGAAATATTAAGTTATTGAAAAATTAATTTATGGAGAGTTTTGGCTAATTTTTGAAAAACAAAACTGTGAATTTTTTTATGTAGTAAAAATAAAAATTAGCTTTACCAAGAATTAATGTAAATTAAATGAAAAACAATAGCAGAGTTATATTTCACTAATATTTATTATTACATATACAGATAAACATATATATATATATATATTATTACACAATTATTTATTTATGATATTAATGAAAAATTGTATGTTTAATAAGATTATTTTATCTTTTTTTTTTATCAATTTGTGTTATTTTTTACATTGATCCTAACACGGAAGCAAATTTATTAATTTATCGAGTATTAATTTATAGAGGTTTTCATGTAGTTCATGGGAATAAAGATGAGTGAATTCAAATGATGGTAAACGATAACTTAATACTTATGGAAATTTATAGATGTTTGATAACTCCTACAAGTGCTACCAAACAACCAAAAAAAATGATAGTAGTACGATTTCGGTTGTAATTATGTCTTCTATGTTGTATCGTAACAATAGTTTAATAACGAATTTTATAACCTTACAAATGTGTGACTTACTAGTGTGTAAAAAATAGTTCCATTTAGAGTTAAGACCGATTAAGTTTAGATGATTGCGTTAGAGTTGATAAACATTTTCTTATCCGATGTTTGCTATGGTGGAAATGAGAAAAAAGAAAGGTATGATTCACACATTTTGTAGTAAAAGAAAAATTGTTCATTTGAGAACTTACAATGAGTTTTACACACAAATTTAAATTAGACAGACATAAAACCACTTCACAGACAATCATTTGGTAAAATTATTCAGACATGTAAAAAAAAAAAAGACTTTATGGTAAGGGAAAAAACAGAGGAATTTACTCTTAACATATAGGAATGGGAGCTCCGTTCCACTCGTTGAGACATTCCATCATCGGATCAATGATTTTACCTTCACAAATCGCCGTGAACACCTTATCGAACTCTTCTCCTGGTGACGTCACTTTCTCTCCGGTCAAAAGCTCTGTTCCAAGCTCCTCCCTCACGAATCTATACAAAGGATACGACCTACATTCCTTGATCCTGTTCGGGATAGCTGATGTTCCGTTGTCGTACGCCGCTCTTGCTGCCTCCACTTCTTTCGGTAGCACCGCTTTAAGCTCCTCCTCAAAAGCTCCAATCTTATGGAAGATTGAAGTCACTGCATTCTTCTCACTCTCACCATTGATCAAAGCATGATCAACTATAACTTGTCTTAGCTTCTGAATCAACGGGTACGTTGCGCTACAAGGATCATCCGCGTATGTGTAGACTTGTTCACGGTCCACGACTTTGAGTAAATCCTTCTCGCAGAAGCGAGAAGGATGAAGCTCACCATTGACACCAGTAGTAAGAACTTTCTTGGCCACTTGAGAAACAGTGTTCTTCACAGTCTGTTTCAGATTCTCCTCCAAATGTCTCAAATCCACAGCTTGACAAATCGCAACGAGGAACGTTGTTGACATAAGCTTGAGAATATCAACAGCTTCAGAAGTTTTGCGAGATGAGATTAGTCCCAAAGAGTTCACATCTTGGTTATGTTGCTCTGCTGATTGAACATGGCTAGTCACAGGATTAGCTAAGTATTGAAGCTCTGAACAATAAGAAGCCATTGCAATCTCAGCTCCTTTGAATCCATAATCCAAACTTGGATTCCTCGATGCGGTTAGATTCGAAGGTAAACCATTGTTGTAGAAATCATTCACCAGCTCTGAGAATTGAGCAAACATGAGTTTACCAATTGCAGCAATCGCCAATCTCGTGTTATCCATTGAAACTCCGATTGGTGTTCCTTGGAAGTTACCACCGTGAATCGCCTTGTTCCTCGATACATCGATCAACGGATTATCGTTGACGGAGTTAATCTCACGCTCGATCGATTTCGTTGCGTAACGGATTACTTCGATTTGAGGACCTAACCATTGAGGAGAAGTACGAAGAGCGTAACGATCTTGTTTTGGTTTCTGTAACGGATCCATTTCGTGAAGCTTCTGAGCTAATTTCATGTATGAGCTTCCGTCGAGGATATGTTCCATTATCGCCGCCGCTTCGATTTGACCGGGGTGATGTTTGAGTCTGTGAGTTAGATGATCGGTGAATTCAGGTTTACCACTCATAACCTCCGCGAAAACCGCCGACAAAATCTCAGCCAAAACGGAGAGAACATTCGTTTCGAATAACACCATTGACGCCATTCCAGATCCAACCGCCGTGCCATTGACAAGCGCGAGACCTTCCTTAGGCTGGAGATCGAAGAATCCGGAGCTGATTCCAGCTAATTTGAAGGCTTCTTCAGCTGTTAAAGCTTCACCGTTGGGACCGGTAGCTTTGGAATTGGGACGGCCGGTTAAAATTCCGGCGATGTAGGAAAGAGGAACGAGATCTCCGGAGGCGGTGATTGTACCGCGGAGTGGGAGAGATGGAGTGATGTTGTTGTTGAGGAAACTGGTGATTGCTTCGAGAATCTCGAATCGGATACCGGAAAATCCTTGGAGGAGAGTGTTGATTCGTACAAGCATGGCGGCTCTTGTGGCGGAGTGCGGCAATGTGTGGCTTGTTTCTTTCGTGCTTCCGAATATTCCGGCGTTAAGGAATCTGTAACGAACACAAAAACATTCAAATTTCGTGTGGATTAGTTATTAATTTTTTCATTAAATTAAATCATTAACTTTTAATTACCCAACAAAATATGACCCGACCCACATAGCTGACCCGACCCGTATATATTTCCCATGCAACGTCATAACTTTTAAAGAATTGTTTTCTGTGATTTTAATAACGTTAATATTCATTATTAGAAAATTTATTTTATTGCCATCGTAAATTTTTTTAAAATAAACTAATGTCCTTTGAATAAGAGTTTTTTAAAATTCATTTAATTGGAGGATTAAAAAAATCTAGAAAGGAAAATTATATATCAAACTAACTAACTCCTAACATTTTTTTTCTCCATCCATATATATACTGCATCCAATTAATAACTGCCACGTATCTACCTAAGAATATACTAACATTTAAAATTTAATTCATTATGATTAGAGAAACAAAAGAATATGATTATTACCTAATAAGCTCCTTCTGAAGTGCGACACCGTTTTTGGTTCTCCGATGAGAAGTAGCACCAAAACCAGTAGTAACACCATAACTATCAGTGCCTTTGTTCATACTCTCCATAACCCAATCACTACTCGCATTCACACCGGCTCTAGCGGTCTCCGACAGCTCCACCTTCACACCGTTACCAATGGTTGAGATCGCAGCCACTTGTCCAATGGTCAGAGTCTCACCTCCAAGATTCACCACTGGCTTCCTAAACTCAACAACCATTCTCTTCACTTCATCCAAATGGCTACCTTTCATTTGCTCCGCGGCAGCTCCCCAGTTGAGAGGATCTTCCGCGTTGATCACCATGTTCTTTGTCTTGATGTCTCCGCCACATAACATAGCGTCGATTGATCCTCCGTTAGCTTTGTGTTCTCCGTTAATCTCCATTTTGACTTTTGGATCTTAGTTTACAAGAGGAGACGACTAATTAAGAGGAGATTACAAGATCTCTAAATTAGAAGAGAAGAGATATTTGATATTTTGTTTGTTAAGGAATTGTATTTGTTCCTGAGGAAAATTAGATGAAGGAAGGCTGGTTTAAATAAGGTGGTAGTGTTTGTTGGTAGG